TATTATTATTATTATTATTATTATTATTATTATTATTATTATTATTATTATTATTATTATTAGTGTTGTTGTTGTTATTTGGGGATGTGTGTCTTTCTGCACTGTGCTGTGTTGTTCTGTGTTCCACTCATTATATGTAGAGGCAGGGTGTGGGTGTGTGGGTGTGTACAAGTGTGGCTGGAGGATGGAGAACAGCCACATGCGGGCCTGATGGGTGTGGCCCGGCAGGAGGACTGGCCACACCTGAAGTTCCTACCACACACCTGTTGGTGATCAGGGCTCGTCGGGGGAGCTACTTAGGAGAGTGTTGGAGCTCCCACCAGTGCGGGTTCATTGAGTTATCCTACCAGGAGAAAGAGTGGTCCAGAAAGGCTGCACGCACGGGGTGTGTGGAAACACAACAGCGGGGAGCACGAGCACAGACGTCGGAGGGAAGCACACGCACGGGATTCAAGGGAGCAACGGGGAGTTATTGTGTTTACAGCTTCTCACTGTAAATAAAAAGCACTGTTTGCATCGCAGAGTCTGCGTTTTGAGTCCTCATTCCCCATATCCCCACAGTCTGCCTGCCAGAACACAAGCAAGCTCAGTTTGTAGCTACGTAATCGGAGACAAAAACCTTCACAAAATATATTATCCTCGGCAATTAGACCAATTAGATTTTGCTTTCTTAACCCAACACATACAGATCAGACATACACATGTAGTGGAAATAGGGCAGGGCAATATGGCCAAAAATATTTATCATGATATATATTTGAAAATTTGCGATAACGATATAACTGACGATATAATTGACACGAGACAAAATACTCCTCAACTTTATTGGTGCAAAAAAAAACAAAACACAAAAAACCCCATCAATGTATTTTCACTTAAACAAGCAGCTGTTTTTTATGTGCATTAAAGCTATATAAAAATTTAACAGTGCAAATGCAAATTCCTTGCTGACAGTTTAACCAAAAGGCATTTCCAGCATAAAATGGCCGACATATCCTTAGCATAAAGAGGTTATACACACACTATGCAGTAATATTATGTTGAAGCACAGTATGTATCACTCCGCAAGGCTCCTGACTACGGTACTCGTAATGCTCTGACAATCCATCAAGTGATGCGGCTTCGCAGCTTAGCAAAGTCGTACTAAAACATTTTTTGACAGACTTTTGAGAGCCGTGTACCACATAAAATCGTTTCGGTAATAACTGTAATAACAATGGCCCCCTTGCATGCTCTACCAAAAAATGTGTATCTGATGGACGGAAGCCAAACCAGTTCTGCACCACTGAAGTTTCACCGCTTTCGCCCTTCTCATTCTGCGTCGCCGCCATGCTTTTTCTGCCATGTGCGTATGATAACAAAGGCACTGCGCATGCACGTTTTACCCATATTCTATCGCAATATTTCATTTTCTTATCATTGCCTAACATTATACAGGTATTACCGTGAATGGTATGATATGGCCCAGCCCAAAGTGGAAATATTTTAAAAAATAATCTCCTCTCTGATGCTGCCAAACATACTGATTTAGGCTGTTGCTATGGATGGACATTAACAACAGAAAATCTTGTCCAGGATTCTTGACACTATGCCCAGTTATTCACATCAACGATATAAATGACACAGACATCAGCCAAAGCAATAGCCCTAGCATAACACCAAGGCTTCCTTGATTTATGTAAGCCAAGCACCCCCTGTAATGAGCTCAACAACGCTTTGTATTCTTTCTGTTTCTATTAAGTCTGACTCTTTCCTCTCTCTTCATCTCTTTCTCTTGACCACTTGTAGAATGGCCGACTGGCTTTTTTAACTTTGTTTCAAAGAAAGTCAAGAGGGCAATTTCATGCTTCGGTAGTTCTTGTTGTGTCCGAAGAGCTTTTCACAGCGAGAGAAGGCTCACCAAGTGCCAGTATCAGCCCTTCTGCCACCGTTCCTACCCCACTTATCCCCCAGACTGCTCTGTTCTGTGGCAATGCTAATGTCTGCTGACAAGATGCTCTGCAGATAAACACAGCTTTGGTTACACAGCTGGGGAGAGAATGTCATATTTAAACAGAATGCATTGTGTTAAAAGTATTGATATACTCTTAATTATCATTGTTATAGACCAGCATATATGAAAGCTGGTATAGAAGAGGAATTCTACTTGATATTTTCCGTTTTCACAAATTGACTTAGTCCATTTGTAACTACAGGCTACCATTATTAGCCATTATGTAAGAATAATGGTAGCCATTACTATTCCACTGATAATTAGAGCTATTTGTTGGTCATCATATTTTAGAGACATCCTCACATTAATCTTATGACCTTGATGGATCATTCATTCACTCAAATAACAGGATATCCCATCAGATTATTCCCTCTGAATCCTGCATGTGACTGGATCAGATTTGCACGGGTCTGTCAAGCTGACACATTATAATCCTTAAACTCCTGTGAGATACATTTAATCTCAGTGACAGATGAAAACTGCACACACTGGAAGTATACAAGTCATAAAGACAAAAAATAATCAGATCTGGAAAGGGTCACTGACAATTTCATTTCCATCACAGTAGGTAATTGATTCGCATATTTTCCGAAAACCTGGAAATTCTCTCGTGACACTGCAGGGAGCAAAACATTTTATTCACAGGCATTAACATGTTAATTTTGAAAACTATATTTAATATATTCAAAGGACATTGGTAAAAATGTGAACTGACTTAAGGGATTAATTAAGCACAGGATGTCAAACTGGAACGAAAGTACACTTTTGTAATTACAACTGATGATACGGTCCATTGCATGCTCCGCAGAATAACATTATTAGCTATAAAAACAGTGTATTAATATAACAACTATTCAGTTTTAGTGTTTGTACTTGAGCTTGCACAGAAAAAAAAAGCAGTTGACCTGTACAGGCAAGTGCCCATGCACTATGTTTACTGAACAACTTGCTCACCTATTTATGGACAAAGTAAGCATATCAAAGATGGGCACTGAAGACATAAAAACGGCCACTCAAAAACACCATTATCAGAGCAAAAATTAGTAACTGCTAGGTCGCAGTAATGGCGAGATGGGAGGTTAATTGGGGTCTTGTCATTGCATGCTTTTTGGTCTTGTCAGTGGTAAGCTACAGTTGAAAAGAACAAAGGCCTGGCAAACTAAATTGTAGGGGAGCAGTTGCCATGGTTACACCATTGGATGTTACTGGTCTTGTCTCCAGGGTGTAAGTGAGGTTGGCGATTGGAGGGGGTGGGGGGACAGATTTTATGTGTTAATTATAGCATTGTTAATAACAGTATGTGTCTGCAGTGAGGACTTAGAAAGCTTAGAGTGGAGACAGAACGCAAACACACACAAACACATCGCTATCCAGCATACAAACCCAAGAATACTGTAAAGATACAAATACACATATACCAATGTGCAAACACAAACATACCAATGTGCCCAGGAGTAAAAAACCAAAATGAAACACACTCTTCAGACTCTATATAAAGCTGCTGATTGGACTCACCACGATTGACACCGCCTACAGTACTTGTACAGAAATGTGTTTCTGATGAACCTTTGTGCCAAATACTTTCTTCAACAAAGAATACAATCTCTGAAATAAATTTAGCTGTTTCACATGCGGATCCCAACCAGATAATACAACACACAGTGTTGCAGACCTCACTTCGTCTTCATGAGTATGCTTACATCCACACAGGGAAAAAAAAGGTTTTCCTATTATCGTGTTTATTGCTCTCCACTGGGTGCCAGCTGTGCTCTCAGTTTTAATGATTTAACTGAGCATTTACATCACAAAGCACAGCACAACACATTTACCTATTTGTACCGACGTGCTGTTGTCAAATGCAATTCTGCCCCTTCCCTAGACAAGAATCTTTAGGGTCTCTACTTTATTAACCACATTTGTAAACAAAACAATGCATTTTTATTGATTTAGAGCACAATAACATACAGACATCACTATATGTAGTGAGAACTGGCTGTCTTCAGACAGCCTGTTTTAAAATTGTAAAACTTTAATATGCTGACCTTCCATCATTTGTTCTAAGGAACATTTTGCAGGCTGTTACGCATTTTTCTATCTACTATTAGCTCAATAGATACAGCCATCATTTATCCTGCCTGTAGAAAATGAAACCTTTCAATTAATACAAGCAGATGCCTTTAACAAAAGGTAAAATTACATTACCTGCAGTTATAGCGTGAGCTCCAGTTAGTTCCCCGTTGAAGCCGTTCTCCCTGGCAGAATAGGGGGCTGTGGCCACATGGGTCCCACCAGGCTGGCAGGTCCTGTAGGCTGAGGAGGAGTAGCCATTGGCTCCATGGGTGCCACCAGGCTCCTGCCCCGCTGATGGGTCCCACTGAGGGGTACCGTCTTCTGGCTGTCGACTGTCTGCCATGCTGATGCTAGCTAGCAGCCGAAGAGGTTTAGCAAGGGTTGGGGTCTCTCCTTCTGGGATACAGACAGGAAGAGAAGGAAGAGGGAGGAGCAAAGATGAGGAATGGTCAGAACGCAGCATGTCTCTGTTATTAACTGCAATTTTAGCATGGCAGCATTAAGGAAAATGAAGAGTGTAGGGACCAGAGGAGGCTCTAGGACATGTTACATCAGTCACATTTGCAAATCTCTTTTTTGTATGTTATGATCACTGCTGCAGCTCAACTCAACAGTTTTGAAAGTGCAGCTGTGAGTTTGTGTGTAGGTGGTTATGTGAAATACTGTCCTTGGATGCTGTCTGGCATATGACAACCACTGGATGAAACCCTATTGATTTGTGTGTTTGTGTGTAATGACTCATGCAGCCAGCGGCTCAGACAGAAAACACAACTGGCTGAAAATGAACAGAGAAGACCTTGGATTTTCGGTGAGTCGTGCTGGGCTGCAGGGTTTAGAGGTGGGTTCTGATCAATCTGACAAGATTCAGCCCAACATCTAACAAATAGTTTGAATCAGCTTCACTACAACATACTGGCTTCTATTATGTGAAAATCCAATGGCAAATGTTCCAGAAACAAAAAGTGTGTCATCTTTCCAATACTTTTAATGGAAGCATGATAGCTGATCAGCATGGTGTGAACATTTTAGGACTTATCTAAACGTTAAGTGCTAATACCATGTTACGTAGGGCTATGATTCAGTATTTACATGTATTTTTCATGTTAAAATAACCAACATTGCTTTGTTATTGAATGCATTTATGTTTAAACTCCTAAATATTATGACCAGTGCCTTTTAAAATTCAATGACTAACATAGAAATATCTCATAGTGAGTGGATAACATTGATCAGATCAGGACAGAGAAGGATCAAGTAGAAGCGACAGGCTGAAACTATTGATCAGTTCTTATTATCACCTAAAGCCGGGACAGTCAGAGACAAGGAGTGAAAGTCAAGGATTTAACTACCTGGCCAGGAGAGATAAATGGGCTCAAAGTAGTACAAAATCATTACACTGAGCTGTTATTATTACTATTTTTATTTGGTATATACAGTTTTTTATGCTCAGTTGAGGTTATTTACATCTCACAATAGTGGAACAAGTACACTGAGTTGAATCTGAGCTTGAAGGACAAAGAGAGAGGTAAACAAAGGGCTCAGTGAGAAGGAAGAAAATTGTGAAATACTCTGAAAGGGAATTGGTGATCTTTGCAGAAGGGCTGTTGATGGTAGCATTTACAGGGCAGCCTGTGCAGTTGTGCATAAGGGTGTGTGTGAAGAAGCAATTTGTCATTTAGCTCTGCGGTCCTCAGGGAGCCAGAGAGTGAAGTGAAGTCAGCTCGAGAAAACGGGAGTCAATAACTACAGCCGAAGACCAAGGTACTGCTACAGTGAGCACTAGGTACTACATTCACAGTACATTAAATACTACTACTCACTGTCAACCAAACAGGAGAACAGAATAGAGTGGAACAGAATATAAATGGAAAACAGAAGAGTGATTCCCATACAAAGGATGTATGAAAAGACTGAAAATACAACATGTCCATATTTTTTGTTAAGATGGATATTAAACACTAAGGCTGGGCCATATCATACCGTTCACGGTAATACCGGTGTAATTTTGGGCAACGATAATAAAATGAAATATTGCGATAGAATACGGGTAAAACGCGCATGCGCAGTGCCTATGTTTACATACGCACATGGCGGCGACGCAGAATGAGAAGAGCGAAAGCGGATCGTTAAATGAAACGGATGAACCAGAATTGGTTTGTAAAAATGCTGCAAAGTCAGTGGTGTGGGACTGGTTTAGCTTTCATTAATCAGATACACAACAAAGCACTATTTTTGGTAGAGCATGCTAGCGGGCCGTCGTTATTACCGTGTTTTTTGGAAAATACGGCACACTTAAAATCAATCCTTTGATTTTTCTGAAAATCGACAGTGCCCCTTATAATCCAGTGGGCCTTATGTATGAATTCTGGTTGTGTTTACTGACCTCGAAACGATTTTATGTGGTACACAGCGCTCGAAAATCTGTCAAATGTTTTAGTACGACTTTGCTAAGCTACGAAGCCACACCGCTTGATGGATTGTCGGAGCATTACGGCTATCGTAAGCAGGAGCCTCGCGGAGGGATACGTACTGTGCTTCAACATAATATTACCATATTGTGTGTGTTTAACCTCTTTTTAAGTTTTGTGGATATTATACATGGTTATGCTGAGGATATGTCGGCCAATTTCCACTGGAAATGCCTTTTGGTTAAACTGTCAGCAAGGAATTTGCATTTGCACTGTTAAATTTTTATATAACTTTAATGCACATAAAAAGCAGCTGCTTGTTTAAGTGAAAATACATTGATGGGGTTTTTTGCACTAATGAAGTTGAGGAGTATTTTGTCTCGTGTCAATTATATCGTTATCGCACTTTTTCAAATGTATATCCTGATAAATATTTTTGGTCATATCGCCCTGCTCTAATAAACACAAATGTCATTGCAAATAATGTAAATATTTGCATAAAATAAATAATTAATGCTTAACAAATTTATTAGCCAATTTAAAAGGTTTATTCCTCAGCTGCTACATTATTGCTGACATACCCAAAAGAACTTTTCTGTATCTGTAATGATTAATCCACCAGTATTAATAAGGTCTGAATTTATTGTTCTAATCCGTGGTTTTACAAAACGTACGAAACATAAATACACATAATTATTTTTTAAAGAATAAATAACAATATAGATTTAACGTTTAGGATTTTGACAGGTTTCGGAAATATTTGTAGTTTCGTCTTTTTATGACTGGTGATCTAATACATTTGTAAAGCACTGCATACTGTTACAAATAATGTATGTGTCATTTAGGCTTAATAACTGCTTATTAATTAAAACTATGCTTATGTCCAAAGCTGCCTTTGTCACAGTCTTGGGTCTTGGACACAGGGTTTTGAGTTGTTGGCCTGTTGAGTTCTGTTCCTATTACTTTTGTGTCTAGTAATGCTGTATTAATTTATCCACTTCCATGCTACTGACTGTCCCATTTTGGGGGTATACTGTGGTCCAGGTTTACTCTTAGGTACTAGGTACTCTTTAGTATTTATGGAGGCTGTTATCTGAGTCTAGCCCCTTGCACATTATACTTTCCCTTGGGTTCCCCTCGTCAAGTTTCTCTGTTTATTAATCCTTGTTTTACTCTGTCAATTTCTGTCTTGTGCCTCAGTTTGAGTTATTTCCCTGCTTGTGTTTACCTGTGCCTGCATCCACTTCCCCTAATTATCTTGTGTGCATTTATACTCCTGCCCTTCTTTTGGTCTTTGTCAGATTGTCTGTTTGTCACTGTGTGCGCTCAGCCTGCAGTTTATTTTATGGACTAATACAGGGGTACGGTGGTAAAAGCAACTGGCTTTAGCCTCTTGGGATCATGCACATCTCTGCGATGCAATAGCTAGTAAGGTATTTAAGTTTGTACCAAAGAGGTGTGTTGCCACCAGCATAGCTACACTATTTTATGATTGGAAATCTTAACATTTGGTTACAAATTTATAACATTCAGTGGTGTTGATCAAGGGATAGTTGAGATGAACTGTTAGCACTGTGTGAATATCCTCTTGAAAACTGAGGAACTAAGAATCTTCCCATTGAACTTTTTTTGTGATTTCCTACTTTTTTTGGAGCTAAAAGAGCACACCCAAACACATGATATATCAATGGAAAGCCCAGGATATCCTCTATTTGCAAATCAGGACTTAGTGGGGTAGCTTAAACAGGTCAAAAGATATAGACCAAAAACAAATGTCCATTACAGAGGACACACATGAGCAGGCTGGTTCTCAGGAGGACCACAAATAATGTTGAGAAGGAATACTATAGACAGAGCACAGAGGTGGTTATAATAAAGAGAACCAAAGAATATTCTGGAAAAGAAGAGAATATAGGATTGCTGTAAAGCCTTTGCAGCCTAAATGGATCAGTCAGGAGTCAATGGAGCTTTGCATGAGTCACCTCTGATGGAAACACCAGTGTGAATGAAACCACGACACAGACTCCAGGACAAAGAACACCTCACCACCAACTGCTTTACATAAATGCTCTCTCTGTCTCGGTCCAAAAGCCACAGTATATTTAGGACAGCACCTTTACTGTCACTCTCTCTTCTGTTGCTTGTTCACTCACTGTGTCCCCGTACAAGACTCCATTACAATATTAAAAGAGTCATAAAATTCAGAAATGAGACTGCTGTCCTCATGCCATGTCTACATACTGTCTGTTTGATGATGAAGGTCACATTCAGCTCAGTGGCAATTTTCCAGATACAACTGACTGGTGGCCAGGCGCATGGTGTCAGTGGTGGTTCACAAGAGGACAAGGGACATTTGCCCTGCCTTCTTTGGAGGTCTGTTGAGCTGTTGATGATGATGGTAGCAATAAGTGTGCTCTGCATACTTTTGCACAATGCATGCTGTATAAATAAAACAGCACCACCTTCTGGGTTAAACTCCAAATAAAACAAATGGGGAAATTATAATATATTACCACACCTAATGTGAAACTCCATCTTTCTTCTTAATTTCAGTGTCTCACTAATTCTAGTTAACACCATTTGTATTCACTCAATATTATAAAACAAAACAAAATACTGGTTGGAGGTTTAGCAGGTATTAAGAAGATAAGATCAAACGGAATGCATAAAAAATTACATTACAAAAAATACTAATTAATGCTATGCTCAGTTAAAATACCAACTCTGGTATGACTGTGATATGATAGAGTTAGACGCTGGGTGTCTTAGTAGACAGTAGGTCTGTTGCACTTGGCAAAAAGCCTGTGGCACTTTGCCAGTGGGCTGGTTGATCCTGATAGGCACTCTCTCTGCCCTGGAGAAGAATGGAGTTGAATAGTGAACAGACAAGCAGAGCAGGGCAATGCTGCAAGTGGATAGTTAGGATGGTAGCTTGCAGCACTTTCATGTTACTATATAGTATTTTGTAGCCTGTTAGGCAAAAACAGT